GCGCTGTCGCCTGGGCCGCCCTCTGCGCCAGCAAGTCGGCCGCGTCCCGCCGCCTCTGGCCGTGCCAAACGGGCGGATTCCAACCCTCCTCCCTCTGCGCCGTCGCTGACCTCTTCAAACAAAACCCTAGGGCGCACGCCCAGGGAACTTCTGACCTCCCCAGGGGTCCCCTCAACCCCAATCGCCACTCCCTTTCCTCGCCTGACCGAGTTCGCAGTCGTGTCGATGGCCGCCGTCGGTGAACCCGTCGCCGCCGGAGGGGTAGCGTGAAGATCCATCAATTTCTTCAACATTTCCTCCAAGTTATTGAACCGTCCTTCCACGTTGTTGAATCTGTCCTCCATGGCAAAAAAGCTTCCTTCTATAGTTGTCTTCATCTTCTCAACCTCAGATTCCAATCTTTCTCCAAGAGCATCCATCTTCTTGGCAGCCATCTCCCCAGGAAAGAGCTCTGATACTAATTTGATAGAAATCAAATTGGAAATCAAATAGAAATTGAAAGAAACAAATGACCTTTGATTCGAGAGTTAGGTCACACCTCTCCAATAATCTCTAATCTACTTCTAATACTTTCCAAAACATGTATGAGAAACCCTAATCTTCCCTTAACAACCTTCTTAAACTTAGTCTCCCATTAATGACCTTGTCAATTTACCAAACTGCCCTTGTTCTTAAACCTACGTTTATAATACGTTTTCAGCCCCTCCCTTCCAAGTCTAAGACATCTACTCAAAAGGGTTATAAATGCTACCATCCTCCCACTAAGAAACTCTATATCTCAGCCGATGTCACGTTTGTTGAGTATAAGTCATATTTCTCTACTCCTTATCTTCAGGGGGAGTTGCCTATACTTGAAGATAAGGAGTCAAGTCTGCCACCACTGGAATTTCTCTCACCCGAGTCACCATTATTGGAAACATCCTCAACCGAGTCACCCAGAGCACAAACCAGATCACCCGAGTCACCCAAATCACAGCCTAAACAGCCACAAAAAAACCAAGCAGATGAACAAATATTTGATCATTTCCGGTTTGATCAGGTGTATTCAAGGAAAAGAGATCCTATTATGACTTCAAGGCAGGGACAATTCACTGAACTGACTCCTGGAAATGAGGTAACAATCTGTGAACCAAATTTAAATATATCACCAGTAGATTCTCCTTCCAACAGTGACCTTGATCTTAATCTGCCTATAGTTGTGAGAAAACAAACCCGAGAATGCACAAAAAGGCCTCTATACCCCTTATCTCATTTTGTGACTTTTCAGAAATTCTCTCCAAGCCACCAAAGTTTCCTTTCAACCCTAAACACAATTCCTATTCCTAACTCATTATCTGAAGCATTATCAAAGAAAGAATGGAGACTTGCTATGGAGGCTGAAATAGATGCATTACAAAAGAATGAAAACTTGGGAGTTGGTTGATTTATCTAAGGGTAAGAAACCAGTAGGCTGTAAGTGGGTGTTTGCAGTAAAGTTTAGGGCAGATGGATCTCTAGAATGCTATAAGGCAAGGCTGGTTGCAAAGGGATATACTCAAACGTATGGGGTGGACTACCAAGAAAAATTTGCACCAGTAGCAAAGATGAACACCGTAAGAATCTTGCTGTCCTTGGCTGTCAACTTTGATTGGGAATTACAGCAGTATGATGTGAAGAATGCCTTCCTCCATGGAGAGCTAGAAGAGGAGATTTATATGAGTATTCCACCAGGGTTTAGTGGAGTTGATAATCACAAAGTTTGCCGGTTAAAAAGGGCATTATATGGGTTAAAACAATCACTTCGGGCGTGGTTTGGACGGTTTGCCAAGGTGATGATAGCCAATGAATACAAACAAAGTCAAGGTGATCATACACTCTTCATCAAGCATTCGGCCTCAGGGGGAGTCACGATATTAATAGTGTATGTGGATGACATTATAGTGACAGGGAATGATGAGGTAGAAAAGAAAGTCTTGAAGGAGGTTCTAGCCAAGGAATTCGAAATAAAAGATCTAGGGAGACTAAAGTACTTCTTTGGAATTGAAGTAGCTCGATCTAGACAGGGAATGTTTATCTCTCAACAAAAATATGTCACAGATCTACTTAAGGAGACCAGATTGATGGCTAGCAAACCGGTTGGAACTCCTATTGAACAGAACCACAGATTGGGTGAAGCTCTTGGAGATAAGGCAGTGGATAGAGAAGTGTATCAAAGGCTTGTTGGCAAACTCATTTACCTTGCTCATACTTGGCCAGATATTGCCTATTCGGTTAGTGTCATTAGTCAGTTTATGCATGATCCTAGAGAAGTTCATCTAAATGCAGTCTATCGAGTTCTTCATTACTTAAAAGCATATCCTGGCAAAGGAGTCCTATTCAAGAAAGCGTCAAATATTGACCTGGCAGTATACACGGATGCTGACTTTGCAGGATCACCAGTTGATAGGCGATCAACTACGGGCTATTGCACGTTCCTTGGAAGGGAATTTAATTTCCTGGAAAAGCAAGAAACAGAGCGTGGTAGCAAGGTCAAGTGCCGAAGCAGAGTTTAGAGCTATGGCAGCAGGAGTATGTGAATTAATGTGGGTCAAGATTATTCTAGAAGACCTGAAGATTCAATGGAGCAGACCTATGAGACTATATTGTGATAACAAGTTAGCTATAAGCATTGCTCACAACCCAGTACAACATGACCGGACGAAGCACATTGAGATAGACAGACATTTTTCATTAAAGAGAAGTTAGATAGTGGTCTAATTTGTACGCCATATGTTCCTATGAGGCGTCAGCTAGCAGATGTGATGACAAAAGGGTTATGTAATAATATGTTCCATGAGAACATTAGCAAGCTGGGAATGGTGGACTTATATTCACCAGCTTGAGGGGGAGTGTAGGAAATCTCGGATGAGATATCATAGGAGGATTTTTAGGAGATCTTCTAGTATAGGAAATCATGGAAGATTACCGAGTCCTAAGGGGCTGATCTGTTTTGGATTCTTTCCTGATTTTATGTAACAGAAAGTATCTATAAATAGAGTGTAGAATAGCTTGTAATGATTCATTCGTTCATAATAAAAATTCTTTCATTATTCTTCAAGAATCAATCCAAGGGTTTCGAGTAGGGAGAGGGGAAGGTGGCACGGCACCTATGGGAGGACCGAACGGATCAACGATTTTAGCGAATGGATATGCCATTGTTCGCCGGAGAAGACCTTGATTGAAGGGTGGGTCTTTAGAGCTGAACGATACTTTTTGTTTTATAGAATGACGAACAATGAGAAAATCCAAGCTGCTGAAATGGCTATGAAGGGTGATGCTTTGGCTTGGTATCAATGGCAAGATGCTCGTTGTCCATTCTACAGTTGGAATGAATTGAAGATTCATCTGCTTAAGCATTTCAGATTGTCATCCGATGAGGCCTTACATGAGGGTTTCTTGGTGAAACGTCAAGAGGATACCATGGCTGACTATAGACGACAATTCAAGGTACTTGCCAACCTGGGAAAGAGATTTCAAATTCGGTTTTAGAGAGAGTTGTCATTACTAAATTGGAAGTCGATAAAGAGCAAGTGGTAGGTAGTTCAAGTGGATTGCTTCTAGCTCAAACAACCGATGTTTCAGATCAAATGGATGTTCAAAGAATCTTGACTATGAAGAATTTTGATGGCAAGGTGGACCAAGGCATTGAAAATGAAGTTGGTTTTCAAACTGGTGCTTGTAATGAGGGGCTTCAAGATATGGGAAATAAGATGTCAATGACATCAAAATTTTCCAAGGATGCTACTTTAGAACCGGAGTTTGCTACACCAGTGAAAGAAGTCCATTCTTGTATTATAAAAGATGAATTTGATTCTGGTTGCAGCAATTTTGGGGCTGTTGATAAAAGAGTACACTTGTAGCTGCCCTCCATTGTTAATGTTCTGACAAACAACAATGCATCTTTCTTTGGTGAGGTGGAACATGCACTGCAGTAAGATAACGCTTGTGGGAGGAAGGTTTTTGTTATAAATGAATTGTTTGGGCTGACCAACAAGGTTTTCCATTGCGACAAGGATGATTTTGAGGGTGAGCTTCATGGTTTCGCTGCCCTTAAAGTGGTTCTCAATTTTAGCTCCAAACAAAAGTGTGAAGTTGAAAAGATAAAGTTAACAAGAACATTTGAAGCAAATTTTGTACGAATCATTCCGGTCGACGTTCTAAGATCCAACCTCATGATTGGAAGGAAGTGGAGTCACACGGCTGTGATTACTTAATACCTTGAGGACAAGGTGTTTCTTTAGGGCGGGGTGATGTTAGAAACCTAATATTTAAAAGTCTTTTTTAATAGTCTTAATAGCAGTATAAATAAAGGGCTTAGTAGCTCACTAGGGTGGGCTGTGATTTTGAGAGTTTTGGGAGACTGAGATTAATGAGAGCTGGTGGTCTCTCGAATACTACCAAATTAGGAGTCCCCGGAGTACTCGAATTCTCAGTTCTATCCTTTACAAGAATTCCCTTATTTCTATACAATAACTTGGATATATCCTTTTTTCACCCTAAATGCACAAGGATATCCCAGCTTGGATGACATTTCCATTGGTTGGATCGTCTGGCTATTTACTTCATAATTGCACTTCCTAGGTATAGCAGAGGCACGTTTAGCTTATTAGGAAAAGTGTCTCCATGAGGTTGCGGATTTAGGTCCTTACTACACAGCAGTTAGAAACACGTAGAGCAACCGCGAGTGGGCAGGATGCTAACATGACCCTTAAGTGCTGATTCAAAAGACAGTTGGTTTTACCTGCATCCGTGCATAAAGAACTAGTGAGGTGTCAATTTTTTTTTTTTTTTTTTGAGTGCTGGCACCAAACTCTTAAGGTCATCTTCATCATATGCTGGAATTCAATTATCAGCTATTTTATCCCATGTGATAAGCAGTGTGTTCGTATTCTTATGATTTGTTAATTTTCATTTTGTTTATGAAACGTTTTTATGTGGTGAATTATATGGTCTGAAACAAAATTTGCTCTTACTTCCTGCAGAACATGTACGCCCAGTTGCTGCCTGCTTTACCTGCACCATCAGGAATGGGTGGAGGCTTTGCGCCACCGCCATCTGTGCCAATGGGAGGAGTGGGGATCCCAGGTTTTAATATGCCACCAATGGGCTCCTTCTAATGAGATTTTGCAGTGACAATTTTAGATTCAGAGAGTTAGAAAGAGTAGCATCTGGTACCAGTCAAATTCCAAACATTCCCCTCAATTTTATTTTTAACTCTGAGGTTCCTTCTAGTGGGAACAATGTGGGATAGTGCTTAGTGTTGGCTTTGACGATAGTAGGTGCCTTAGATAGGATTCTGGTTATATTTTTTCTTCGGGTTACTTTGGCTCGGGCTTGCTACTTTTTGTTCGCTAGCCGATGCTGAGCCGAGAAATTGCTGTTGTAGAGATCTTCATGAATCGTAGGATGGCAAATCATGGATGCGGTTGTAGCAAACTTGCCTCGTGTATAGGTCATTTTGATCATGTTAATAAGCTCCTATGTATTCTGTCTTCGAAAATTTTAAACTAACCATCTTGCCCCTGATATGCAACGGGATTTTCTGTCAAATTTTGTTTTTTTTCCCTATTCTTGCGTTGCGATTTCTTCAGTCACAGATGGCCTTTAAGGAGTTTATTGTTGGCCGTGAGAATATTTCTCTGTGCAAAGCCTTTTTAAAAAATGATTATTTTGATAAGCGAGTTCGAAGCTTCTCTTTGATTAGTGAGTTCAAAACATTTTATTGACAAATACAATGGTATTAAAAAGCCACAAAGGAAACTTATATTTATGTGTCTTTGAAGTGGCTTGTACTCTTATAATATTCTTTTTATTTGCATCTTTAATTATTTCATTGAACTGTACTAGTAGCAAGCGAGTATGAAGTTTGTTATTACGAAAATTCAGTGTAGTATATTTCATCAATTTATTTGATTTTACACCTGAATAACGAGGTCACTAAAAGTAATTTTCTATCGGCATTTTGAAGAACTTGACGAGGAGGCCTTTAGAATCTTTTCGGCTGCGTTTAGTAGATAAATTCAGAATTATGTTTCTGGATCCTGATTCAGATAAGTGTTTGTTTACAGTGATTCTAAATCATAATTCAGAATTAGTGTTTGGTTTGGATGATTTTGATTCATGATTTAGAATCTGATGTGATGTTTTAAACTAGTTTAAATCATGATTCTAAAACCACCCCGTCTCTTGATTCAAGGTGATTCAAACCTCTAATTTTGAATCATGGTTTCAGAATCATGATTTAAACTGAAAATCATGAATCATGATTCTGATTTCAGAATTATGATTAGAATCATCCTGATTTGAATTTTCGTACCAAACGATCATTTTTGTTTTATTTTAAAATAACATGAAATAGTGTGAAAAAATAAACACTTCTTTTCTTGGAAGGAAAAAACACAAATAGTCACTCTTATATATATATATATATATATATATATATATATTAGGGAAGTATACATTCCAATCTATCTACGATTTCAGTGCCCGTTTGGTATAAAGATTGAAATCAGGGTGATTTGAGTCTTTAGATTCAGAATCATGATTTATGATTTGAATAATGATTCATGATGATTTCAACTTTTATTTGGATGTGTGCATGATTCTGATTGTAACTTGAATCATGATTCGAACTAGTATTTGGTTGTGTTATTTGTTGATTTTGAATCATGTCAACAATAATAACCATCTTTTGGCCATGTAGATACGTTAGGTGTAAATTTGTTTCTACTGGTTGCATATTATGTCAATAAGGAAAAATGTATTACCATTGTAATAGAAACTCAAGTACAAATCGTCAAAGTACAAATCGTGAGGCAAATGCCATTCTTGTTTATCGTCCTGTACACTTCTCTCCTGATATCAACATAAACATTACAAATACACACATATGAAAAGTGTGCTTAAGAAACACCTAAGCTAACCTGTAAAAACTGATAACAAGTTTTCCACATTTACACATAGCCTAGTGTTTGAATATGTTTCTGGAATATCAGAAAATGTATGAACGAGTATAGCTGATTTCTGTTGTAACACCTGAAAATTTTGCCTATAAAACCATGCATTACGCCTAACATCAAGGGGTAATCTTTTTTCTCCAGTTGGCCATAAAATTTGACTTCCTATTTCATGCATTTGGATCTTGATCATGTTTAAGCTTCATGATGTTCCCTTTCTCCTTTATCATTTACCATCATTTGGACATGGAAACCATCTAGAAATTGTTAACCAGGAGTTTCCTCCTCCAATTGCATTCCATCTGAAAAAAGGTTCAAATATCTACTTAGTCTCTCGTCTCTCTCTCTCTGTAATATTGAAACACAATCTCACCTATACTTTGTTACCAAGCAATGAAGAAACACTGCCATTTGCACCTTTGTAAACTCAGTTCCAACACAGAACCTCATGCCACCGCCAAAAGTCATGAAATGGCTTGTAGCACCATTTAATTCCACTCCCTGGAATGTTACCATGTTTTCCACACAAGCAAGGAAAAAACGTTAAGATCAAATCTACCTATATATATATATATATATATTATATATATGCTTGTCATAAATGGCTTACCTCCCACTCCAAGGATTGAAGGCCAGTGGATCTTCATACGAAAATGGGTTCAAATGCACATCTAGTGGACAAACCATAACAACCCAACCTGCTGTAATGGTATATCTTGTATCTGAACCAAATATGCAGCTTGTTCTCGGCAATACTTTCTTCCACAACCACAGTGATGCAAATATAAAAATACATGGCGAACAATAAGCTCATTTCTGAAAATAGCCTTGTAAAGTAGTATTTCTTGAAGAGCACAAAGTACAAATCCACATTATCAAGAACATCCACATCATGCATTCCCCAAAACCAAAGTCCAACTATACTCAAACAAAGCAAGAACGTGACAAAACTCAATAGCCAAAAGTTTAAATTACCTTCGTTAATTCCCAAGAGTTGCTGCTTGGGTTAGAATCAAGAATTGCTTCATATGCGGGATTTGACATTGCAGTTGCAGCTAACACGCCAACCGGTTCACCAGCAGGGTATAAATTCTGAGCACTTCCTCTGCTTCGCAGAAATTTTTCATATATCAACCGTGTCTCCCACGGCTTCCTTGGTATTCCACCCACATTTCATTCGCAATGCGATCCCTAAAACGACCCATCTCTGTACGACTAACACTACCTCCTGTCACAACTGGCCCTTCAGGGACATTATCATCAGTGTCATCGTCAGCACATTCATCTGCATTGTTTGGATCTATTTCACTTACAGGTACACCATCCCGGTCGTATTGACTTAGAAGCGGATCCCCCTCATTAACCATGTGAACGAAATTATGTAATATTGCACACGCAACTGGAATTTTTACTTGTTTATCAATTGGATATGTATTATTAGGCCGCCTTAGGATAGGGAATCTAGCCTTCCATACCCCAAATGTTCGCTCTATACAATTTCTCAACGATGAGTGTTTGTAGTTAAAAATATCCCTAGGTCCTCAAAAACCACCACTTCTCCTTCTGTAATCAGGCAAATGGTAAGTCCCCCTCTGTACGGAGCGAGAAAACGATCATTGTTCGCATACGCGGCGTCAACGAGATAGTATTTTCCTGTGTAGGGTATCCAAATTAGGCTGCAAATTGAATGTCGTTAACAATAAATAGACATAAGTACGAAGACGTAAGTGTAACTTGGTGGGATACGTCGGAACTTCGACCTACGATTGTTAAGCGCATCCGTGAGCACTCGAGCATTGTGGGCTGAACCTTCCCAACCGGATAATATGTACGTGAACTTCATATCAAATGAACAGGCTGCCAATATGTTCTGTGAGTTCACACCCTTTCTATTATGATATGCCGCTGGGTTAGGAACACCAATTGGTGTGCAAGGTATATGAGTACCGTCAAGTGCGCCTACACAGTCCTGACCATTTGATACAAAAGTTATAAACATAATTATCAATGTACGCTTAAGAATCTCAATGATATGTAATTAAAAATAATGCGAAAATGAGAATCACAACTTACGTCGAACCATGTACCATATCTCTGACGGTTGTCATGTAAGAATTTGGGCACTTTGTCATACTTTGGGGGCTTAATGAATTCTTCTTCTAATTCACAAATAGCATCTAAGACTTCAGTAAACCTACGTGATATTGTCTCCCCTAAATGTTGCCATGCGTCTTGTGATTCACGATTACTGTGGCTTTGTGAAATGATTGTTAAGAACACAAATAATTGTTCAGGTACGCTCATGTTATATGAGGGTCGTAGCAACCCTTTATCAGTTAGCATTTCACATAGTATCATAAAAGCACGCGGTCCCATATGCACTTTGTTGAACATTGCATTCTCATTGTTGTTGGCTAACAGCTCATTTACCTTGTCCATGCCCCTTAATGTTGAATTGTGCATCGGCCTTCTTACAGTATCAGTATCCAAATAAGCAGCTACAGCCGTGGCAACGCCTATTGCGGCCTTAAATCTCCGTCGACGCCTTACAGAGGCCGTTCTATCGCGTTCTTCATTATCGGGCTGCATCCTGTTGTTTCTGCAATTTAACAAATATCATCAATATTGTCATTAAATAAAAACCCTCGTAGTGACAATATCATTATGGGCATGCTTTCACTCTTGTTCAATGTTTACAATGAACGCTAATGGAGGTGAGCAGCCGAGAGCATCAGCAGCCCCCTTACGATAGGCCAAACGGGGGCTGCTGTCCTCTGAAATCAGAGCACATTAGTCCCCTGTCACAGCCCAAACGGGGGCTGCTGTCCTCTGATTTCAGAGCATCAGCAGCGCCCTGTCACAGCCCAAATGAGGGTTGTTGTGCTCTGAAATCAGAGCACCAGCATCCCCCTGTCACAGCCCAAACGGGGGCTGCTGTGCTATGAAATCAGAGCACCAGCAGCCCTCTTACAATATGCCAAACGGGGGCTGCTGTGCTCTGAAATTAGAGCACCAGCAGCCCCCTTACAAGAGGCCAAACGGGGGCTGCTGTCCTCTGAAATCAGAGCATCCGCAACCCCCTTACCGAGTGAACCAACCTGCCGTGTGCTCCATTTTCGGAGCACCCAAGAAGAGCAACAATGAATAATAAAAAATTGTCATACATTACTTTATAATGGAAAAAAAACACCATTTCATATAATATAGTAACATAGGATACAACAATAGTATAGAATACAGTCTCATACAACAAAGAATGAAAGTAAACCGGTACACGAACAATAGTCTCGAAATCTTGCTTACACACAACAACATGGTATGCTAAACTAATCCGTGGTCTAAAAGCAAGGGAAAATCGACCATTTAATCCAAATTAAGTTCGTACATAGAAACATCATAATAGACATCTACGGGCTAGGTGGATTAAAGGCTGGTGGTGGCTGGTAGGCTGGTGGAGGCTGGTGGTATGGGTTAGGGGGCTGACTATAGGGGTTTGGTGGATGTGGGAAGGACTGTGGCAGCTGGGTGTATGGATTCGGTCCGGGAGAGAAGTTATGTGGGGGCTGACTATATGGATTAGGCACCTGACATGGATAGAGGGTTTTTGGCACATCAACAAAGTCGTTTAAAAAAACCCTCCTAATGGGTTCATCCAATTTATGCCAGGCTGCCCGCCACATGGGAGACGCCATTATTTTTTCAAACGCATGGGCGTACGTACGCGGATCAACTCCTATTTCCTTGAGTGACGCTATGATCATATCCATTTCATTTGGTCCATTCACAGTGTTGTTACTCGGTTGGGTCTCTTTGCTTGAACGAATGTCCTCTCGCAAATCGTTGCGCATGTCCTTAATGCATTCAAGCAACTCCTCCTGTGAACTGTCATTGGATTTGTGTGCCCACGTCTGTTTCTTTCTTATCACCCGTGATGATGAGGCGATATTGGATGTAGTCCGCCTTGCAAAACTTTCCACGCGGTTACGAAGCTCAATAGGCATCTCATCATCATCACTGTTTTGGGAAGGAGCATTCTGGTGAGGTTGTGGTTGTTCATCCCCAGCAGCAACATCAGCCGTTGGCTCTACATGGGCGACTGAGTGATATGCAGCTGAACCGGACGCCATAACTCTTGAAGGGAATACGGCTGCCAAGTACGTCTCATTATGCCTCAAACCATGAGTGAACAACGTTTTCGCTTCACGATGTCTCTAACAAAATTAGAATGAAATTGGTAAGTTTCTTACACTTACCAACGAAAGTGTAACCTCTAGCACATTATCACTAATGGAGGCGTAATGAATCACACATATTACCTTACAAAGAGATGTTCGCAGTTCATCCGAGCATGTAAAGGTTTTAGTAATAGGATCCCACCCTACTCCAGTATGGTTTTGCAGTACTTTATACGCAGAGTAAAGGTTGCCAAGTCGGCGGCGTTTCTCCCTTAATCGCTCACCGTCGGGTACGTATCCATCGAAAAATGTGGCCATCCGAGCAGCCCATTGGTTGTAGTCTCGAATATCTCGTACCTTCCCGTAGTGTATGTCATTGTACTCGTATAGACACTCAAGTAGAAACTCCTCCGCTGCAGGATTCCAATACAATGGCCTCTCCTCGGGGTTTTTCTTAGGCATCTACATACGCATAGGACAAGCAAGAGGAGTCCAATGCGTGCAAAAATAGGGCATAAGCTTCAAACCGTGAAGAAGTGAAACCAACACAAAATTCACAAACAAGAACATGAAAGAGAAGTGACCGACCATTTATTAAGAAGAAAAAACAGTCCACCACCGTACGACACGAGAGAAAAAAACGGTCTAATACTAATCAAAACTCGGGAAGATCATGGAAAATAAAACTGGAAAATGAGAGAGAGAGTTATCATAATATAGCAGTCATATTCACATGATCAAAAACTTACACTCGGCAATTTCACTGGATATTTTTTCATGTTGTTTGCAGAGTCACAGTTACCTTGGATCTTGCTCTATCGGCTCTTGTAATGCAGGCCATAAGGCAATGGCATGCAGAAGCAAAGCAAAAGAGGAAGAAAAATCACACTTCACAATCAACCCACAACGACTATTCTTCTACCACTAAAATCTCAGATCAGATCTAGAATAAAGATCCAGAAAATCCATCAACATAAGCGGCAAAGTTAAAAACAAAGGAAGCAAAATCCTCTCCTCACACAGAGAAAACTATTGGTCATAAATCAATCCACTTCCTGATATGTACACACCACAGAAACACAAAAAATAACGACGAAGTAGGCTGTTGGAAAAACATGAACCAGAGAAAAACCACACATGTTGCCCTTCGAACATCTCCTATTCTAGGTAATGATATTTACGCAGAAATCTAAAAATAAAGTGAGGATGACATACCCTTACCTGATTCGAGTCCGACGAGGAGATGGAGGACACCGCCGGCAGAGCTCCAAAGACCAATGTAGAACCTTTGTAAATCTCCCTTCTGTTTCCTATCCGGTGAAGCCGATAAATGGGCTTACCTTCGTAGTATCGGCGAAATTGGTACCAAATGTGGAGCTTCCGTCGATTGTTCGGCTTCAATCGAGCACTTAAAGCATTTCTCATGAAACCCAGAAGAGGGGTCCGCCGTGGGTTGGGATGTGAATGCAAAGAGGAGTCCACAGGGAAAAGGAGTGAACAACGCAAGAAAATGGAGGAGAAAAATAAAAAAAAAGCTGGGATGCTCTGCAAACTCACGCGTGAAGTAACAGTGAAAGCTGGAGATTCTCTGGCCAAGGGAAAATTGGTCGATGGGAGTGCATTGGGGTGGGTGGGGGTTATTTCTCAGCACGGGAAAAACCATTACTCGGGGGAAGGGGGGAGCACTGTGCTCTGATTTGGGACCGGGCTGAATCAGGCCCCCCTGATTTTGGAATCCGGATCCAAGTGATCTCAAACACCTCTCTTCTGATTCTGGGTCAGGCCACAGATTTTGGGCCACCAAATGTGGATTCTCCCACGTGACCCAGAATCCTGAGTCAAATACAGCTTCCAAACGGACCCTCAATATATATATGTATACTGAGGGAAACACAGTATAGACAATTTTATTTAAAAAAATTATTTTTGCAAGCGAAATTAATTAGAATATTTTATTTATGCAAAGGATCTTTTTTTTTGAATTATGCAAACGAATTTTGAACCATAGCATATAACCAAGTGAAGCACCACAACAAATAAAAATAAAAATAAAAATAAAAGGAAAAAGAGAAAAAGATAGCGCCAAAATAAATAAATAAATAATTTTGGCACCCTTTGGTGCGTAAACATCACGCCTCGAGTCTCTTAACCCTCTCATTTTTCTCTCCCCACTCTCTCTCTTGACTATAAAACCCTATTTTCCTTCCTACATCACGAAAAGTCCCCAACAGCCAGCCCATCCCTAGCTCTTCTTTGCTCTTCTTCTGTATTTCTCTTTCTCGCCAGCCTTTTCTTCTTGTCCCTTTCTCCTCCCAATCATGTCGAGCAACGATCCCGAGCACCGAGAAGAGGAAGACGCCCCCGCCGCCGACGACGAAGACACCGGAGCTCAGGTCGCTCCGATCGTCAAGCTCGAGGAGGTCGCCGTCAGCACCGGCGAAGAAGACGAAGATGCCATCCTCGATCTGTATGTTTCTCTCTAATTTTCCGGTGCTCTCCGATTTGTGATTTTTTTTTTTGGTGATCTGTGAAAATCTAGGGTTTTGGAATTCTGATTGATGATTTGATTCTCTGTGTCTGTGATTTTTGTTTTCCTTTTAGTAAATCGAAGCTCTACCGTTTCGACAAAGACGGAAACCAGTGGAAGGAGCGAGGTGCCGGCACCGTTAAGCTTCTGAAGCACAAGGAGACTGGGAAGGTTCGGCTTGTTATGAGGCAATCCAAAACCCTCAAGATCTGCGCCAATCACCTTGGTTAGTAGATTCTTCATACTGTTGTATGTATGTATGTATGTATGTTTGTATATGTGTATAATTTGCTTTTGGCTAGGGTTCTGATCTGTGATTGCATGCTTGCAGTTCTTCCATCCATGTCTGTGCAGGAGCACGCCGGAAACGACAAGTCTTGCGTGTGGCACGCCGCTGATTTTGCTGATGGTGAACTGAAGGACGAGCTTTTCTGTATTAGATTTCCATCAGTTGAAAGTGAGTATGATTCGAAGTTTACTTCGCTTAATCGATCTCTATATTGGAAATGCTACTACATGTTGCTATTATATCTCTATTTTTCATGAATTATTATTTGCTTGTTATCGTTTGTTGTTTGGAGATCAATCTGGGCTACCTAATTGCTTTTACTATACAAGTCATTTTTTTATGTTAAAGAAAATGGCATCACCGGCACTTAATCGCTTATGGTACTCTTTAATTTTGTGTTCCTTTCTGGTGTGAAATTTTGGGAGATGGTTGTGCATGAAGAACCTAATAAAATGATCACAATTAGGGCTTATACTAGACATATGAACTGTCAATAGGGCCCAGTACCCCTTATGAAGTTTAATTACTACTCTGTACCACTTTTATGTACAAATGAGGCTCAAATCTTTTTACAGAATTGATACTGGTGTCCCCAATTCTTTAGGGCCTCTCAGTCACTTTATTATTCATGGTTTTTTTTTGCTTACTTTGGAAATTTGTCAAGTTTTTGAAGCTTTTTGTTCTGCAATAGCAAATTTCATTTGAATATGAACAACCTAGAGATAAAGAAAATTTTTCCAATTTGTTGTAAATTGGACTAGTAATTAATGCAGCTTAAAAAAGTTTTCGTCATTATTTTAGTTTAGTTTAGCCAATAGTATTATTTTACCAAGTAGCAAAGATACCAAACAAAACTAAGGTGATATTTTTCTTTGTCTCGGATTTGCATAGAGGGTATTCCAGTTTTTCTCCTTGAGGGGCATAAAGTATGTGTACCTACATGCTTGGATGCGTATATGGCTGTAATGGGGGTGTTGTGCTTGATTCCATAGAAGTATGATCTTTAGAAATATGTTGAACTTGATACAGTTTATTGTGATTGGTACTGATTTTTTATTCTTCACCAATTCAATTCCTACTAACAGGAAAAATTATTTGAGTCTTTGCTTCAAGTGTTCTGTAATTGAATTATAAGTTCTGATGCATGAATTTTTGTTTGCTTTTGTTATAGAGCTTCTAGGAATATATCAAGAAATTAAGAACTGTGATGGATTCTCCTGTCAAGCTCCATTTATTCCCTTTACACACGATCATATTGTGATGTATGTTTCAAATGATCAAAAATTTTTCCCACCTCTAGTTAGATATGGTTTGGATGGTGATTGCCCGAGACTTTGAGAGCTAGTGTTAGAAGAACTCAGCATGAACGTTTTGCTTTACAGTTTGCATTTTGATCTCAGTTTCCCACTTTGCATGCATCAACATCCTTTAGGCTCTTAGAAAGAGAATTACATTTCAATGTCCATTCAAAATATGGGATACTTTCTAACTTTGAACCACGCTACTTATATCCGTTTATTATCTTCTAGATTATTGCAAGTGTTAAATTCTTGTTTCAAACTCTACTTGAGGTTCATGGTGAACTGCTAGTTTATTCTAACATCATATTAAAGCGCTGCATTACCATGTCTTATGTATAGAGTATTGACTGTTGTTCGTTTTGGTATCAGACTGCAAACAGTTCATGGAAAAGTTTCAAGAAGTTGCTGAGTCTCAGCAGAAGAAGGAAGAAAACAAAGATGCTTCCGCAGCTGCTGGGCTTCTTGAGAAGTTGAGTGTTGAAGAGAAAAAGACCGAGGAAAAAACATCAGAGGAGGCCCCTGCTGTAGCCAAGGAGGATAAAGATGTCAAGAGTGATACAGTGAAAGAAGATATTGAAAAAAAGGACGAGGAGCCTGCTTCCTCTACTTAAAAAGAATTGGTATTGTTTCTTTCCAAAACAAATGCATACCTTGGAATATGATGAGTAGTCAGCTCGGCCTTATTTTCAACCCTGCATTGGCATATCCATTCTACTGTTAGTCATTGGATTGTGATTTTATGGGCTGGAATGCCAGTGGTCTGTGAGTCCTTCACTTGGTCTTTCTGTCAAAATTGGTCGAACTTTTGGGTCATGTTTGCAGGTTGAAGATTGCGTTTTATTTTTTTTTTTTCCTTTCAGTTTGGGTGTTGTTCAAGAGAGTTTATCTAGGGTTTTACGATGCTATTATTTAATTGGGAGTTAAGTTGCAGTGCTGCGAGAATTACTTGTTATTAGACGAGTTTTTGTTGGGATATAATTTCTTGATTTGTTCAGAGTCTCGAACAATGTTTTGAGCAATGATTTGTGTTTTTCCTTTTTCTTTTCTTCATTCCGTTTTGTGGCACTCGGAATAATCGAATATTCTCTGTATGGCCAGTTTCTTTACTTTGGCTCTGTGAATATGTCTGTTTGGAGATGTGAACTGGGCGCGGAAGCTTATGTGCCATGTGTTATCTTAACACCTGAAAGCCCAGTATGTCCATGTGGTAAAAATATAAATAAAAAAACTGAAAGCTCAATTTTTTTTCTTCTTTTTATGTTCACGTTCTGGAGACTGGTGTATGTGCCATGTGTTATCTGAACACCTGAAAACCCAGTATGTCCATGTGGTAAAAATATAAATAAAAAAACTGAAAGCTCAAATTTTTTTTCTTTTTATGTTCACGTTCTGGAGACTGGTGTATGGTCTAAAACTCGACATTTCATCAAGTAAATCTTATGTTTTACCGTTCAAACTTGTACTGTTGCACGTACATTATAGCTAATCTCTGCACTTTTTTGAGATGCGTGGGTCTTTTTTTTTTATTTTTATTTTATTTTGGGTGTGCTTGAATGGATGCTGAGGATATGGAACCAGACAGGTCGTTGCCTGCGTAGTATACAGTATACACGTGCTCAAGAGAAAGCGAATGCTGTTTGGGCCTATGATGATTGCTGTTATTAACATAAATGAAAATTTATCTTATAACGTTCGTGAGCAGCTTTTGGCGTTCATAAATTGCATAATATCATTCTGAGGGCAAAAAGTCCACATCACTTGCATAATATCTCCTGGCATGAGGCCGAGGCTGTTGTGCTGTGTACCACTCACTCAGCATGTAGTTGACGGAGCCAAGGCTTGTGTGAGGTTGTGGGAGGCTGAGGTTGGCCTTATGTTGGCCTTGCAAGGCCTGCCTGCGCCGAGCTCACAACTCTGAAGCCTGATTGTGGAGTGCCAGTGAGGTCATTGTGAGCCCCAGTAAGTTCCGATGAGGTTAAGGCTTTGCCCTGCTGAGTGCTGGAGAAGCGAGCTTGTGAGACTGCCCACTAAGATTCGGCTTTGTGGTGGCCGGATATGGCCTGCCGTAGCCTTGCCAGAGCTCTTTTGCCTGTCATGGAAATGGTTGGTAAGGTCATTTGAAAATTTAGATTATTTTGAGTGTCGGAAAGGTTATTATACAATCTTAACTAGTGTTGGTAATTTTCATTAGCTCACCACCACCAGCATATGGTATTTCTCATTTCTATAAATCTCCCATATACAAAAGCATATTGGCAATAAAAGGCTATTACATTTAGGTTTTAGAATCATAATCCCGTAGTGTTAAACTGTAGGGACCCTCTCCACCAAGTCATGGGCTTTTCGGTCTAAGAACCAAACCAAAGCACATGAAGCTTCCATGGTTTGCCAAATATGTTAAAAAAGTGCATGTGTTATTACTTATGAGTCCCTCGTTCGTTTTACACAGCTTGCCCTTTTGCCCATTCCCATAAAATGGCACCTCAATTTTGGCGTCCGTTTGTCCAGCCCTTTATTATTTCCACCTTATTTTCCCTTTTGCTTGGATCTATGTTTATCTGTCAGTTTCCTTTACTATTTCCGTGCGTGAAAATCAAGTTTCGTTCATAAGTTTAAACAGAAATTTAAATTGTTTAAAAGAATATGTTGTAGTAAAAAGATTAGAATAGTAGCTAGAACCTATGAAACATGCGTAGCCTTTGGACGTATTTGTTTCGGCACTGTTCACTTTGTGAGTTTAAAGTGTGAGTTTGAACTTATATGTGAGTTTTTTTTTTATAGTTTGAACTAGCGTTTAATAGTGAAATGGTTAGTTAAATTATTAGTTTAGTATTGGGAATAAAATTTGAATAAGTGTTTGGTTAAAATTATTAGAACTATGAGTTTTTAGAAAATGTGAGAAATAATTGGTGAGAATCTTTGAGTTAATTTTGTGAACAGTGTTTTGTGTTAGAAATAAAGAACTTTTCACAACAAAGAGATGAATAAAACTCCACTCATATATCCTATTAAAAAATTTTATCACTATTGAATTTTATTAAAATACTATCTAAATACAAATTCAAGTTTTGACCCACTCAAATACGAACTCAAATAGATTCTCAATTCAAATCATAACTCAAATGTGTACATCCAAACACAAAATCAAATTATAATTCAAATTCAACTCAAGATCTACACTTAAATCACCATAACTCAAAAATATAACCGAATAAGCCTTAAATTATTATCTTTATACTTGATTAATTCTCTTTAGGTAAAGAGTTATATTAGTCAAACTCATGAGAACTCTCCAACAAAACCGGCACTTATTAATTTACATCACGGTTCTAACCATTTTGCTATATATATATATATATATATATATTTTTTTTTTTTTTTAAAAAAAAAAAAAAAATTTAATTCAAACTTTCAAGTTTAAGACCTTCCTTCCAAAAGGCAAAACAATCTTCTAGAGCAGAACAATATATCCCAGCTCAATGACATGCACACGTGCTAAACATCTGAGGAGTGATAACGACTGAAAGGTGCTCTATACACCATTTGATACACAATACTCAGAAGCCGACGTATTACCTTTTGTCCATGAAACGCTAAGCTACCAATGCGAGCGGATAAGGCTTGCATATTGTACATATCATTATAATTGGCAGAAAAAAGAGTGAGAGAGCCAAATGACCGACCAATTCTAAAGAGGGCCAACGTCAAGCATTGAATCCAAATGGGGACAATGAAGGACACAGAAAAAAAGTGCCTTAAATATTTTGATGTGGAGGACTTACCTAACGGGGCTAATAACATCTTTTCTATTGTCTCAGTCTCTCTCATTTCTTTGTCAAGTTAAATTTTTATCCCATCTCTTCCTTCCCCATGCAATGTACTAATAGTCAAAAACAACCGTACGGTTGGCAACTCCCCCACCCAATAATGCCGCCAGAATCAAACCAATAAAGACCCCTTCTTGGTGGTGTTGTTTCAAAAGGCTGATTGATAACTCAGTATCTTAGTCCTTAATCATTCTCTTATCTTGCATAGTCCACGTCCATTAGTCCAAACCCATAAACAATTATTTCTCCCATAATGCAATGTGATAATGTACGGCCACAACCCCACTGGGTCTTTTGGACAATCTGGGGGAAAAGGAACAAAGTTGGACTGGCGATTGGTTGTTATATATGTACATGATACATACATATACATAGACATATATACACACACATATATGGATCATTCGTATATACATTTCCTTTTCCCATCCCGATTATTATTTTTTTGGCCAATAATGTGACATCATACTCTAGCTAGCTGGACTTGAACCCTTTTCCCAACAGTCAGCATCATGAGTTGCAAGCGTGTGAGTGATGAGCTTAATTCATCAAAAGAGAGAAACGTCTTTTTTTGACTAGTTAACGTCATACCTCATTTTCTTTCTATTTTGGTGGCCATTAATGCAATAAAATGAAGTTTTAGCATTGTTGGGCCCGGAAGATTCGGTGGGTACGACGTGTACAAGGTATACACGTGTAAATACCGGATTCAGTGGTGTTGATACTGACGCGGACGAAACACGCGGCGTTCACAGAGGATCTTCGTACGGTAGGACCTCCAACAAAAAAGAGGGAATCGGTTCGACCCAAAGTAAGCCGAAGAAATTAGATTCTAGGACACCTTGTTGCCAAGTTGCTGAGACACTCTTGACTATGCGTATGGGAAGATGTTGAACTTAGTCATGGCGATCGCATGGACAAAGTATGGTGGGAGGAGTGACCCAACGGTTGATGGAGATTTAACTCGGAGAGTGTGGATAAGGCTGTTTCTGAGGAGGAATGCTCTAAGAACAAGCACGGCTTGCCTCTGGAGTGGCTGTTTGACTCGTAAGGTGCGTATATGGCTGTTTCAGAGGAGTGTTCGGAGAAAAAACACAGGTTGCCTCTAAGAATGTGTATCAGCTAATGAACTTTATGGTTTTTCGAAAGTGTGAACCTGGACAGCGGAGTCTAGCCACGGAGGTAAAGTTTCGAACCTCTGGAGAAACCTCAGAAACTTCAAATGTAGATTGTAGGCGAATTTGGATAGATTAGACAGAGTATTTTGAGACTTTTTGAGTGAAATTTCTATGAAGAACTTCAAACCCGAAGAGCACAAGTTTGAAGAACAACTCTCAGAAGGATGAACTCAAGTGTTATAAAAACTTTCCAAAAGTCCCAAAAGAGGTCTCCCCGGTCCCCTTTTGAAATGAAGAAGTTAAGAGGTATTTATAGGGGAAGTTTGGAAGATTTTGACGGTTGCTCCGGAGCCGTACGATCACACCTTGCCAGAGGCTTGTACGAACCATTTCCCTCTGGAGCACTTGCAGTAGGTGACTTTTCTCTTTGACAAACAAATTGGCCAAAAAAATGTGTATTTGGAGGCCAAATCCGGAATTCTTGCCAACAGTGGACCTTCCCCAGGTTTAGAGATTTTGGAGTGTTTGACTGAATTTGGTGCTCCGTAGGCGTTTCTATTTCTGGAGTTCTGAACACACGCCAGACCAGCTCCAGAACCCTGCCTTCTAATTTTGGCTAAACAGTTGTCGTTGGAGCACCTGACACATTCAATCTCCATGGAGCACGGGAAGAACCTTCGGACACATGGGAGTCTCTCAGAGCATATGAGGTATCTTTGGTCACAAAGGAGTTTCTTGGAGCATGGGAAGTATCTCTATGGTGACATATGCGGTGATGCCTCTGTGGGGGTGTAATGACTGAGAAAATATCAAACTTTAAATAATACAATTTATGTATTTAAGCCAAGAATTTTCCTAGAAAATATTATGTTTTACGATCAAGTATTCTTAAATTCTGTAGCAGATTTTAATATGAAATTAATATCTGTATTCTTAAATTCTGTAGCAGATTTTATGCTAAGTTCATGTTTTACGATCAAGTAAATTCGATCGATAAATCCTCGCCGTACTTTAAGTTCCTGTCGGCTAAATACTTCCTTACAGTCAGTATAATTTTTATCTGTTGCAAGGGAAACTTAAGAGATGAGACAAAAGTACAAGGGGTATGTTAGAATTTGGTTGGATGAGATGTGATTTGATGGTGGAAGGTGAAGAAAAATTATGACATATGTGATTTGATGGGGGTAAGTGAAGAGTAATTATGATAAAAAAATTTTCTCTATTTTCCTTCACTTGGCCGGCCATGATTAAGGGAATTTTAACCCAAATTTAGTTAATTAAGTAAGTTAATTAAG